GGAATAAGATGGAGTCAGGGAGGAAGACGACAAGGAGAGGAGGAGGAGGAGGAGGAGGAGGGCGAAGAGGCCGGAAAAGAGGGATGTCGGGGGAGGAGGAGGAGGAGGAGGAGGAGGAGGAGGAGGAGGAGGAGGAGGAGGAAGAGGAGAGGAGCAGAGAGCTCTCAGAGAAGCAGGATGATGTCCACATTCAGCGCACCTTGGAGTAAGGGATAATATGATCATAATCATAACAGAGGCAGCCCTGACAACCCACGAGCTTCTTAAATACGGCGTTGCCAATGGCGTCCCGGCGCCAACGACTGGGGTCCCGACCGGGAATAACGGCAGCCTTTCGCCAGCAGGCCTCCTTCACATCATACGGGAACGACCGCGGCCTCCGATCCCGATCGTCCTCCCATCCCGACCCGCTGCCCTCAAATCCCTGGACCTCTGCCTGTATCCGATCATCAACGGGTTTTTTCAAATCCACAGCAGCAGAGGTTGATGCTGCAGAGATTTGGCCGCTCGTGCGCCGACGTGGCGAGCGGGATCGGGATGGCGGGGGGGAATGGTCCCTGTCCCTGTCCCTGTCCCGGTCCCTCCCCAGACGCTCCGCGGCCAGCTCGCGGACATGCCGCGCAAATAAGCCAGCGCGGCGGGGCATGACTTCTACTGCAGCAGCGCGCGGAACCTGCGCGTTCCGCCCCCGCCTTTCTTCTCTACTCTCCTCCTCCTCCTCCTCCTCCTCCTCCTCCTCTTCCGACTACGCTTTCTCCTCTCCTCCTCGCTCTTCACCTCCACCTCTTCCTCCTACTACGACTACTACTAAACTACCACGACTACCTCCTCCTCCTTCCCGTATCCCCTTCCTCCCTTCCTCCTACTACAACTCCCTCCCTGCCAATTGAAGGCAGGTGTGGTGACAGTGCGCGCGCGACCACCCTCCCCGCTCCTCCTCCCTTTCCTCTCCGCCAGTGGCGTCACGGGGAGCTGACACGTGGACTGACATCCAGTCAGCAACCACACAGGTGAGGCATCCTCAGCACAGGACATCGCCACACCACTGTCGAAATGTGCAAAATGAGAATGAACTTCCCCGTAGAACATGGCCAGGTGCACCCGCCACATTTTTGTCTTTTTCACATTTCGAGAGTGGTGTGGCTACGCCCAAAGTAACATTTGACGCTCAGACGAATTGGCGCCTCTCTTTGGTCGGCACCGGGGCTGTTACGATCGGGATCCTCATGTCGTCTGATGAGAGCAATCGGATGTGGGATGTGGGTGCGCCGGGGCTGTTACGGTCGGTATCCTCATGTCGTCTGAGGAGAGCAATCGGATGTGGAATGTGGGTGTGGCCCTCGCCGCACTACTCGGTTGGTGTGTAAAATGGGGAATGCATCTTAACCTGGATCGCGAACAGATACACGCTACATAGTTTTTGTGCTTTTCACGTAGTTTTTGTGCTTTTCACGTGGTGCGCGCTCCGGCCAGGCCCTCTACGCACCTATAAAGCACCACACTTAACCTGGATCGCGAACAGATACACGCTACATAGTTTTTGTGCTTTTCACGTGGTGCGCGCTCCGGCCAGGCCCTCTACGCACCTATAAAGCACCACACCTTTCCCGCTGTTGGGAAAACGGGAAAAAAGCCTACTCGGGGCCCAGCTCAGTTGGTAAGGCATGCAAGTGGCATTCAGGAGGTCTTGGGTTCAATTCCCATCGGCCTCATGTACCGTCCTGGGCAAGCTTGGCGCCGGCCACCTACAGATAGGCCATTGGTCCCCCCGGAGTGGCATTCAGCAGAGACTGCTGATGTTCATAGGGGGAGGGGACCAGAGGGGAGGCATAGCGACTCGCCCATCGACGAAGCTCGGTCCTGATGCTACCAGCTGACCCCTGCCTGGTATAGCCCCCTGCTGTAGCAGATATCGCACCTGCTGGTGGGTGCAGCTCCTACGTGTTCGCTCATTGGAGGCTTCAGCACGGATGTGGCTGCTACAGGGTTCCCGGTAATACTATAATGACAATAGTAAAGGCCTGAAAGGCCGTCCTGTCCACATTTGACAGGTAATTGAAAGAAACAAAGAAAAAAACTAAAAAACATTTGCGGCTGGGCCTACTCCTAAAAAATCCGAGGCTGGGCCTAACGACTACCTGCAGCATTCCTGACACTAAAAGGGTTCCACGAAGTCAGGAGGCCTGTAACGCTCCTCACGACTGATAGAACTTTATGGTGGGCCTACCACTATGGAGATCTCAGGGTGAGTTTTCACTGAGTTCCAACAACGAAGGCCTGCAGGTAGTGGTGGTATAAAGCATTCAACAATAATGATGGTTTCAAGTACTACCAACATGCATCGGCGTAACACAGGGAAAAAAAAAAAAACAAAAAAAAAACAGAAGGTGGAAAGAATAGACCGAGAAAGAACAGTAGTAGAAGAAGAAGATGATGTCCCCGAACGCGACTTTGAAGCACCGACATGGCGACAACCCGATTTACTGCCCGGCGAATGACCCTACCGGTTTCGCCTGGTCGCTTATCAGGATCATCAGGGGTCTTAAGTCGGTGCAACGGACATCGAATGAAAGACTTATATCCAAAATATCCACACGGAATGAGCCGAGGAGGAGGAGTACTCCAAACCACTTCCTAGAGGGAGAAATATGCAACACTTCAAGTAATGCGCCTGATCAAGAATCATCCTCAAAGCAGTCTGTCATCCAAGAAGATTAGGAACGTATGGAGACGGGTGTGTGTGTGTCTATTCTTAGTTCGGCTGTAGGTTGGAATGATTGACTTTGGCGACACGTCTAATCAAGTCAAAACTGAGGCAGTTTGACTACCTTTTCAGCTGCATCGAGGATATTGTAGAGCCCAACTTCCTGTTGGTTATTCAATATAGTGTTTTTTTTTTTTTTTTTTTTAGTTTGAGTCGAGGTGGTCGGGTTTTATTTTGATCTTGTGTTATTGAATGTACAATATGATGATTTGAATTCTTTCAATTATCATTTCAAATTGGATATACTTTTCTATCGACTATGACTCATTCCTTTTGATGTGATTATGTGGGGTTGTTGTAACTTTCTTTTGACTAGTGACTAAAGGGACTAGGATTGAATTTTTGGTTTCATGCCTGGTTGAACCCGACCTAGTCGACCGGTGTATGCTTCGTTCATAGGAGATCAGCGCCCTAAGGGACGAACGATGCTCGGGATTAATAGGCATTTTAACCGCTCGTACCTATACTACATCGAGCGAGTAAATGCCCTTAGCTGACATACCTTTGCAATTGTATGTAAAAACTTTCGTATGTGGGTCAATAGCTCGGTAGGGATACACCCTTATAGGTGGTGACGACCCCTTAGGGAAGGTAAGTTGTGCCCCACGGAAATCTATCCTGTTGTAGGGGACCGCTGCAAGTACGGCTGACGCACCCGGCTAGAGCAATGAAGGGACGACACGACTACGCTCCTCTCGACGGGTCGCGAGATTATTTATGCGTCATCTCCAAGTTGCCTCAGTTTTATTTTGTTCAACTCTTGTGTAACATGGTCGGGAGGGCTCTCGTCTTTTGCGAGAAAGACGGGAGCTGATGCGCTCGACATCGCCCTCCTCCCAAGGTGGAACATGTTTCTTACGAAGGTGTTACTTTGAGTTGTTGGGCAGTGCCCTAATAGACGAGCTCTCCATTCCATGGTCACAGGACACTGGGGACTATTTGTCTTCAAATCCTGTCATACCACCTCCTCGTCAGAGTCGCTATCAGACATTATAAGACAATATGCTCGATCGTCTCAACTCTTTTTACTGCGGGAAAATTCCCAGTGCAACGCGGGCACCACAGAAGAGTCCTGCCCGTACTGCTCAAGCTTTGAATGGTCAATCGGACAATTATTTGTGGGCAAACATCGGTGTGATATTTGCCACTAGAGCGATGTGATCTTAGCCCATCTAGTTTTGTTTTCATGGAATCATCGGATGAGAGTCCGAAGTTGTTTGTCTACGTTTAGGTGTATTTGTCACCTTTCAACCACTGCATCCCTCAGATTCCGTCGCACCCGAAGCTTCCTATAGGTCGCTTTCACCGTCAATTTTGAGAGTCTCTTAGGCTTGGGTTACCAGTCCCCCTCTCTTAGTTCCCGCCCCTTTTGCAGGATGGGTAGCCATTCCAACGGAAGGGTCTCTGTGATTTCCTTTAATGTTGCACCGACATTGTGGCAATAACGCATCTCCTTTCTCAACTGTTCCAGTGGTTTCCAATCCTTCTGGTCTTCTTCTCATAAATTACCTACCCACATTACCAGTTTTTTCCCCAACATTTCCACGGAGCATCTTAAGCACAGAAAAATTGGCTATGTATGTCAATTATCCAATTGTTTCCGAACAGGAGTTGTCTTGCCACTTTCTCCCACCTCTTCGGGGCTGGCCGATTTGAAGGTGGAAACTTTCTCCATTATTTAATCATGCGGCCCAAAAAACATTCTTCATGTTTGTCGTACCCTGTGGTTTGCGTGAGACTTTCCAATAACCGTTTTCAAGTCATGCCAAAGGGTCGATCGACGAGGGGCTAAAAGCCTTCATAAAAGGGGGGTGTCAAAAATCAAATGTATGGCCTACTACAGGATCAGTGTCTGGTTTGGTGGGGAGGGGGTCGAGGATGCCCATTCCTCCATTTGCTTTAGGCTGAACTAACAATTCTCCAACCACCTGACAAATTGTATTAGTATTTTCACTATCCCCCCTCCAAAGGTAGGCGGTCGCCTTTCGTTTAAAGGACTTCTGAGCATGTTGTCTTAGTGGCCAGAGGACGGAGTTGTACCATAGAGTTGCCAGAACCACATTATTTATCACCAAAGCTCATCCGAATAATGATATATGTTTGCGGTTTCTCTTGGACAGTTTTGCAAGGGTCAAGGCTGCTAGCCATTCATCATTTTCCAGCGCGCAGCCTTGTGCTGTCATTTTGACACCTAAGACCCGAATGGGTACCTCAAGGGGCACCCTAGATATATGTTGTTGGATGGTGGGCGTACGATCATTCGAATTGTCATGAAAGACCAGGTTGTGGAGATGCCTATGAATCTCTAGCTCCTCAACGTAACGCTGTTTTGCCATTACTAGGGGAGTAATCCTTACATTTTCTCGCTAGGAAGTACATTTCGTTTGTGAACCACTGAATATCTGATTGGAGGTTGTGTCGTTGTCCCTTCCAATAGGTTCATACATCTCGTACGAATGTCTGAAAATTTTTGTCCTTAAACAATGGAGTATTTAACTTGTAATAGTCAGGTCCCTGGACTGACCTCTTACAAAAAGAGAGGACTGCGCCGCACGCGCAATGGTCCAGGCCCGAATGGGGGCTGAAAGGGAAGATTGTTCTAATCACAAGGCATTTTGTATCGAATGGGAAATAAGTATCAGGTCGATTCGTGTTCTTGAATGCCTCGTAGGGTCGTTGGAGCGAAGGCATGTGTAGGCTCGCTTCGTTGGGTGAAGGTATTTGAAAGCATCTATGATCCCTAAGGAGCTGCAAAAGTCTGCGACCGTGTGTTCATCGTCATCCACATATCACGGGAAAGTCCCCTGAAGATTCCATTTACCAAACCAACTCGCGGGCACTGCGTTAAAGTTGCCTGCTATGACTAGAGAAATGCCCGGGTGGGCGAGTGAGCTGAGATGGACAGAGAAAAGTGTCCTATCTGTGGCCGAGTTGGGGGCGCAGGCACATAAATACAGATCAATTATAGTTCTAGCATACCTAGATCAGAGACCCACCGACCCTACTCTCCATCTGCTACCTAGTGTACCACCTGCAACCGAAATTTGGGCAGGACCCATATGGCGATTCCACAAGACACTGGTGCTGCCACGTGTGCCTTGTAGATCTAATGTGGCCACACCATTTTGTGTGCCTTGTAATGTTCCGGGCGATCGATCAGATGTGTCTCCTGGACGCATAGTACATCCAACCATCTCCACCCCCCCACCCCCTCAAGAGATCCCAAATAGCTTGACTTTTAGTTAGCTTAAAGGAGGCCAGGTCATTTATGTTAAGTGCCCTCATGTTCAGGTCCGCGTCCCTAAGGCAACGTCTCCATTCCGGGTTCCTGCAGTATAGTGTGTCAATTTCATCCGTCATCCCTCTTCTCCTTCCCTCTATTCTCCCCTCGGAATGCGGTACTACAGCGGTATGTAAGTTCAAATTCAAG